TGGCCCCCCCAACTAAGTTAGCACCAAGCGTGGTACATAGGTGATGGGAATTCATGTGATTTCAGCATTTGTAGGGGAATTCCTGGGGTACGCTAACTTATTTGCTTCCGCTTTTAGACCCACTCCGAAGCTTCCTAGTGCTAAAATTGGAGTTACTGTTGGCGGCACGAACTCTCGCCTATATCCTCCCTCCCCCCCCCCCCCCTCACCCATTGGAGAAGATCCGACATCCGAGCGTTAGAAATTGCTGGAGGGCTCAGACGAGTTCCTCTGTCTTCTAGGCTTAGGCTTGTGCTTACCCTATTTATTGCAAATTTGACACTGGTCATCAGTTTAGTATCGAATTGCTGTGGCGCCAGAAATGAATAGCACATTCCCTTTTGGAACTCCAACTCATATCTATAAGAAAGTTTCCAGCAAATGGATGAATAAAGGGCTGCACAAATGGGTCGGGAAAACTGCCCCAATGGCACTTTTTTAAAAGGAATATAATTCTGTTATTAGAAAGCCAAGCTACTCCAATTGGCAATGCTGCAGCGATTGATTGTCTTTAGATCTTGCAGCTTTAATAGTCAAGAAATGTTGATTTCTGGCTTGTTTTCCCTCAGATGTCGGTCAGACTCTGCGATTGCATCGCGATGGACCAGTGCCGGAGCGACGCGATCGCTCCATCGCTTGTCCATCGCGATGCAATCGCAGAGTCTGACCGACATCTCAGGTTTATTTGAGCTGTCGGTAATCATTCATAGGTCAGTGATCCCTTTTATAGGACTGCTAATATCTGCCCGAAAAGATGCTGTCCTTCCTTGATAAACAAATTAAAATGGATTCGGCACAGGATGGTGAGATATCTCAAAAGCATTTATTTTTTCATTAGATGGACTATTCATATTAACGCGCTTTCTATTTAGCCGAGTCGGTAGCGAAACAGATAGAAGAATATGACGGGCTGAAGACTTTGGAATTGAGAGGGAACACTGTTGGTGTTGAGGCGGGTGAAAGACTTGCCCAAGCGCTGGAAATGCACCCTGAACTAGAAGTGAGTTGTGCTGTTGAAGATTTAGTTTCTATCCTTCTTTGTTTTATTTTGTTACTCTGAAAGGGAACGAGTTCCTGTGCTCAGTTCGAGACATACACGAAGGATGGGTCGACGTTCTCCATCATTATGCTTCACGCATTCGGTATCACACTCTAGGACTTATAATATCTAGAACATTTACTTGGCGGCATTGTCCGCGGCTGCTGGCTGATAGCTAAGTCGGTGGTTTTGTGCTTCTGGGCATAACTATTCGAATGTCGCCTTAGCAATTGAGGTTACATAGTTGTGGGCGAACACTCTTCTTAGGAAGCGTGGAGCAAGTTTTCTAGCTCCTGCGCTTTTCCATCGAGTGATAAACGTCATTGTCGCCACGGTTACGAATGCGGCCATACTTTACGATTGCCTTGCATTTTGTGTGGAGTAGATACGCATCGGTTGTGCGATCGCGATCAGTGCGTATTAAATCCTTGCTTGAGTCACTAGACGGTCGCAGAGTATGACCGTCCCCGCGCCGCTATCGCGGCTGCCCGCCCACTCTCTCGTCCCCTGACTCTAGTCGTTTAGCAGAGAGTGGGTTAGCTTGTAGAGGGTAGAACCGTTGAGGCTGGCATCTGTGCGGGAATCAGCGGACAAAGAAGGGCTCTGAGCTGGGGTATCTCATGGTTTTTCCTTCATCCCTGCATCACTGACCACCTCTACCCTAATTTTCAATAGGCTGCCTTTTATTACGAACTTTACCGTTGAGGTGTGGGTAGGGCGCCACTGATTACCTGGATGCGTACGGACTGTGCGGAGCGGTTAACCTCAACCCCAACGCTAAACTCAACAGTAACCCACACCTGAATATTTCGGATATCAATTGCAGCAGCATTTGTATGCCATTGCTTTAATCGAAATCGCAATGACCTCATTTGCAGAGATGTCTTTGGAGTGACATGTTCACCGGGCGACTAAAATCTGAAATTCCTCCCATTTTAGTAAGTTTTTTTTGTGATTGCTGCTTTTCAATTTGAGCAACTTATCGATTTTTTCTTTTCAAGCGTTCAATGTGCTCTGCCATTATTAACGCGAACTGTCACATAACAGAATTGGACCTGTCTGACAACGCATTCGGACCCATTGGAGCCGAAGGTAATTTCCTCCATCTCAAGTTCCCATTTATGCTATAAAGTAGTCACTTTAACACATCAATTTTTGCAAAGCTTAGATTAATGTCAGACCAGTGGTTGTGTAATCTTTACGGCGCTGCCACTATCTCTGTCTTTGTCGCGATTGCTTTGTCACAGGGTCTGAACCTTCTCTTATAATGGACTTCCAAATTGCTCGAACACCTTAATAGGATAAGCTTTTTTGCTTGAGGTTCAGGCTCCGTCATATCTTGAGATTCCTTTGCAGTTCGGTATGGATTGATGGGCATTAACAAACCACTTGCTGTAGCTGTTGCTCAACTTGGTCTAGCCCGAATTTATTTTTGGAAACCAGTTGGCGTAGCTTTTGATGGATATCATACTCGGCCGTGGTGCAATCGCGACAGCAGCCGCGACGTGCAAGGTGCAATCGCGGCTGGCTCTGCCCACGATCGATACAGTTGCTGCGATTTGGACAGCATAATGCCTAAGGTGCCCTGCTGACGAACCGTATTGATGTGGACGGAGCCATCGCCGGCTGCGATTGCCCTCCTGATAATGAACAAGTGCACTAGCTGTCGCGGTTGCACAAGCGACTGCTTCAAGTTCGCTCAATCGCCGAAATCTGGCATCCATCTTCCTCCTGCTGATGGAGGGAAACATTGCCCCATCTTCGTGTGGGTTTCCTTTAATAGGCGTCTAACACGCTTGCCGAGTGATAGAGCAAGTACTGTAGTTGTGCCCACCATAGCCAGAGTTAAATTGATGACCGAAGGGACCGGGTAACGAGCGCCCACCTCAAAATGTCGCGACATTAGCGATCAGTGGAATCGTGAGCTATGAACGCAACATTACTGATTGATCGGGCAAAGTCCTCTTCAACAGCCTCTATTATAAAATTAAATCGAGGTAGTTACTAGTTCAGTTACACTATGGGTTCGAAACCTCATGTTCTCTCCATCTTTTCTTGACGTATGAAATACAAACTTCCAAGTTTATAGGAATTGCACAATTCTTGACTTCGAAATCTGCATATTCACTTCAAGTTCTAAAGTTGAATAACAATGGGCTTGGCGCCGGAGGAAAAGTGAGTAAAGTCTCCATAGGGTGCTAGCCCCACCATTAAAATTTTCTGAATACGTGTAGTTTTCAGAGAATTGCAAAGTGCTTACGTGAGTGCCACGGGAACGCCTTTAGAGATGGTTATGAGTTCAAATTGAAAACATTTATTGCTGGAAGAAACCGTCTGGAGGATCCCGGAGCTATAGCCTTGGCTGAAGCGTTTGAGGTAAATCAATAACTGTCGTCTACGCCCGCTTTTACTTGGGGTTTGGCAAATTCGACGAGAGCTGATCCTTGTGACAAATTGACGAATGTATTAGATTTACTTTCACTTTTGCAGAACCTAGGTACTCTCGAGGAAGTCGTCATACCACAAAATGGTATCCGTGCAGCAGGAATTTGTGCTCTAGCACGCTCATTTCGATCGAATCCTTCACTTCGAATAATTAACGTCAACGACAATACGTGTACGGTCGAGGGAGCTTTGGCACTAGCTGATGTTGGTATTCTTTATTTATGTATAGTTTAGATGAATTTAACTCCTATAGTAACCTTTATCTCCTATAGTCTTCAGGTTCTTGAAGATCTCACTCACCTTGAAGTCCTTGATCTTGGTGACAGCTTATGCAGAGATGACGGAATTGTGAACATCTGTGAAGCGCTTCAACGTCACTTCAAACTACAGGTGTCTAGGTTGCCATACTTTCTTAAGGATAGGCTCTATCGGCTGAAAAAGCATCATTAGGCAGTGTTGTTATATTTATCATTCAATGCTGAATATTCCATCTTAATATTCCAAAATTAATCTTTTATCATTTTTCCAGTATGTAGACTTCTCTGGCAATGAGTTATCAGCTGAAACTGGAGAATCAGTCGTTACAATGTGGAAGGAAGTTTTCCTAGCCGAAGGCCAAGTTGTGTGCGTTTTTAGAACTATTTCTGCGTCATGTCTTTTTTCTTTACACTCTTTGCTAGTATTTTACGCGTTTCAGAAAGTTGAAGATGACGAATAACTGCTTTGGATCACGATTCTATGATATAAAAGAGATGGCTGAAGGTACTCCTATCGATCTTGGCGAAAGCGAGTAAAAGCCATTTTTTTTTGGTGTTCGAAACTTTAGCTCTCTGAAATTGTTTGGGACAAGCGATCTCCAATTTAGCGATGATGAAGGGACTTTGTCCGAGTGCTCTGATGAGTTTGTTGAGTCAGAAAACGACAGCGAGGATGAAGAGGAGGACTACGACGATGAAGAAGAAGGTAAAGATCATGTAGGCTCGTGTTAATGGAGTGGATGCGATAATTCGGTCAGTGGTCGAAAATGAATGTAGAGGTGCCTGTTGGTGCGGTAGCGGAGGAGAAATTCATGGAAACGGCTAAAAACGCGAAGTGGTGCCTTCCTGATGCACATTCTTTTGGTAGCTGGCACGCTGATTTCCACCAGGGCCGGAAGTCCCTATTGTTGCATGGGCTGGCGGACTCGAAAATCTCTCGGAGGATCCCAACGGAAAAATTAGGCTTGAAAGGTCCAAAGAAGGAGCTTCAATATACCAATAGTCCCGACAAGGCAGGTGGATCCTAAAGTGCGAGACCATGTGAGTTTTAAATCGAAAATTGTGCCTCGAGCGGCCTAGCAGAGTCACCTCCGCGCTGCGTGTAGTGTAGATGGATATTAATAAAAAGGATAAAGCATTTGCCGTTGATCAATCCCTTTTTGGGATGCGGCACGCATTCTACTTCCATTTGTACATTCGTAGTGGCGTTTGAATGCGATGTGGCCTATACAATGACTTGCGGGGGCCAGCCGATGTACAAGTCAGTGTTTTTATCCTCCCAGACAAGTCTGGTACCAATTAACCGACCCCGGAGGGATGGAAGGCTTGGTTGGCCCGGGCGACTCACGACCCAGGATTTGATCCCCGGACCGCTCGCGTGGTAAGCGTGCCACTTGCCACTACACCACTTCCGCCCTGTAGATGGAGATAGGCAGAAATGGTTGGAGGCGTAGCGAGAAATGCGTAGGGTTTTGCTATGTTGCTTCGAGCGCCTTTCGCAACGAAGCGCGCACACATTCTTATTTCTGGTCTCTATCTTCCGTTTATTAGCAGACATCTTTACTTTCTTGAACAGCCAAATTGTCGTTATTGTCATCGTTTGCACTGCTTTAAAGACAGCGGCAACATTTATTCGTCACATGCCTTTCACACATTTTGGCAGTAGCGCAAGAGAATAAAATAGAAGCTTGTTACTTTGTATGACTTTTGTCTTCCCATAGTATTCTTTACAGTTTTGCCCTTACTCAATTTTTTCTCTATAGAGTGAGTCAGGCCATAGATGTCAGTGAAGTGTTTGAATGTCTTGCGATGATCACATAGTTCATATTCCAGATTTGCAAGCAGGAGGTGATAGAAATGATGAAGATGATGGAGGAGACCTCAGCGATTTGCTGAATAGCATGGGTGACATGAAATTCACGGAGCCTCAAGGCAGAGAAGTTGATGATGTCGTGTCGTTCCTCAATCAGCAATTGAAGCTCGACACCGCCCAGGATGGTTGGTAGCCGAGACCTATGTTTTTAGTTTGATACTTCTTGCTTCTTTTTGGATTTAAACTAGCTTCTTGAATTCAGCTGAGCCCGTTGCTCGACGAATTGAACAACAGGCTTGCATGAGAGTGCTTGATCTTCGCGGTAACACTCTTGGCATTGAATCTGGGAATCGAATCGCAGAAGCCATTAAGCGGCATCCTGAGTTGCAAGTGACTATTTCACAGAATATGAACCATTTTCATTAATTTACGTCGTTTAATTAACAACGCCATTATTTAGAGGTGTTTATGGAGCGATTTATTCACGGGTCGTCTGAAAAATGAAATACCTCCAATTTTGGTTAGTTTCTCGTTCATAATTAATTCTATCGCTGAAGATATCCAGGCGTAAATGTACGTTCCAGAAGTCACTTTGCTCCCGTATGATCTCTACAAATTGTCATATTACCGAATTAGATCTTTCTGACAATGCATTCGGTCCCATTGGAGCTGAAGGTTTGCAAATTTTCACATTGGAACGTGCCATGCGTTTGGTTCCTTTAAACGTGATAATTAATTTAGGTATACAAGAGTTTTGATGTTCGCCAGGCTCCATTTTCATCTATGAGGCTCAAGTCAACACAATGGTCTTGAGCTGGTGGCCAGCGTAACATTGTTCTATAGCTGCTAAATAGAGATTACCTCCCCAAAAACGTTATTTCACTGTTAGGTGATTGCAGCGCTGTCTGTACGGAATCTTCTTCGATCTAACTTAGCTAAAGCACGTGAGCTGAAACTTCATAGGCCGGTCGAAACGTTTGAGTCCTAGAAAGCGTTGCGCTCTGCGAGCATTTACTGTGAAGTTCTACGTTTGTCGACATCAAACCTTAAAGGTTCATCATTCGAAACAGGATATGACATAGTAGTGAAATTTTTCATCTGCATAAAATAGTTTTTGAAATCTTTTCTGCAATTTTTAGAAGATTGGATCTTTGGAAGAGTTCGCCGTACCACAGAATGGAATCACAGCGAAGGGAGTAGAAGCTTTGGCCGCGTGTTTCAAGTCAAATCCGAATCCTTCGGGTCATCAATTTGAATGACAATACTGCCACTCAACTCGGTAGCGCTGCCATCGCCGAGGTGAGGCGCAGCTGGTCACTCATCGTTTGTTCACAATTATTTTTGATCTCATATTTCAGGCTTTGCCTTTGCTTCCCAAATTAGAAGTGCTGAATCTTGGAGACTGTTTATGTCGGGATCAAGGCTGTCATGCAATCGTTGACGCTCTGTCACCAACGGTGCACAAAGCTTTGAAGGAACTGGATTTGTCTGGAGCTGAGCTGAGTGGGGCGGCTGCAATGCAGATTGTCGAAAAGTGGAAGAAATTCCCCTCAACCACTCGGCTTACTATTTCATCAAACAATTTCGGTGGAGTGTTTGAGCAATTACGAGGAATGGCTGGGCAAAACATCGTTGTTGGAGATTCGGAGTATGTTTGAAGGTTTCTAGGGAATCTTGAAATTGGTATTCCAATCAAAGTGGCACTTTATCACTTCTCTTTTTTTGGTTTACCGTTTTCACATTTCAGTGATGACCAAGGTTCCCTCAGCTCAGACGAAGGCGAGAGAATGAGTGCTGAAGAGACTGACGATGAAGACGACGTGAAGGGAGAGGTAAGTTGTTCTTTCTTGGATTTTTCCACGTTTTCGTACATAATCGAAAAAGCGAACTGGGTAGATGAGAAACGCCCAGTCTAAACACCGTTTATGAGCGTCTTGAAATCACCTTTCGGGACTTCCGGCTCTTTTTACTTACCATTATTTAAAGGAATCTTGCGCGGAAAAATCATGATTCTATTTCAGCCATAAATCACTGGCTTGAGACTCATTATCCACGATAATAGTGAAAAGAACTGAAGTATTGCTTTCGTTTTGATTAGAAATTCGAAAACTCGAAAAGGCTGCTACGCGTTCGAATTGCCCACGGACGTCTTTCACGAATGCTGGCGACGGGGATGCTCAAACTTGGTTCTTGGAGTGCATTCACTAGAAGCTCTTTCTGGCCTTCTGCTTCGTTGCA